TCTTCTGGGTATCTGGAGGATGCTTTGCTTGAATTCAGTGAACGTTCCAAACGAAGACGCCTGTTGTTGTGCGGTGATCATGATCAAACCAATGACTTAAATGGTCTTGCAAAGGTAATTTTTTTCCTTTTTTTTTTTCATATAGAATATAATGTTTCTGAACTTGGCTAGCTAGTTTAAATAAACCATTTCAAAGATTAATACTGACTGGTTTTACTGTTGTTTATGCAGAGCTACTGGAATTCAAGCTGCAACTGGGGCCTCTCTGAGAATTTCAGCTGCATGAGCCAGATAACAAGCATTAATGGAGTTTCAGGTAATGAGACTTAACCATTCTTTTACTCTTTGTAGAGTTTCAGAATTAAAAATGTTTAAAAACACTTCACTTAACCATATTACAATAATAATGTTTAATATGAATTTCTTTTTCTTTTTACCATATACTTTAGATGAACCAGTGAGTACATCAGTGAGCAGTGAGGAAGCAAACATTGTTACAGAGATAAAAACCCCAGAACAGGCAATATCTGGCAGCCCTGAAGCTCTTGATTCGTCATCATCTTCTTACAAAGGATCAGTCAAGACGAAGTCGTTTTTTAACAAAGACACCCAATTCTCCACTGACCCCATATCTTCTTCTGGTAAATTCTCTCTTGAGAGTGTGTGCATGTAACTGTATATTTATGTTGTAGATAATAGTTAAGAGTAACATTGATAGTTTTTTTTTTTTTTTTTATGTTCTAAGGAAGTGATGACAAGAAGAAGAAAAGGGTGATAGCAAGGGTTGTTTATCCATTTGCATTGGTGAAGCCTGGAGGGATTGAAGGCGACATGACCCTAAACGACATTAACGAAAGGATTCTAATGCCACCGACAAGGCCGGTAAGGCACCCTGTTGGGGATTTTGCTTGTAGACCATGCGTATCTGCCGATGGTCCTGGCCTTTCTGGAAAAGCTGTGGTGGCCCTTACCAAAATACACACTCAAGGGAGAGGCACCATCACCATTATTAGAACCAAAGGTTAAGGAATTTAACATTGGAAACTTATAATTCGATACTGCTTGCTTTTACTTCAGCATAGCTCATGCTTTGTTTAAAATTGTATAGGAGAAGGGGGTGAATCATGCATGAATGTAAAATAGTCCACTTTTTACACATTATAGATACCATTAGTTGTGGGATTTTGATGCTTGAACTAGCTTTCTACTTTTATGAGAAAAAGATTTGCTCTTTGAATCAAAGGGAACGTGAAGAGGAAGCAAGGAAAAAAAAGGGTGAAAGGAGGAAAAAGAAGGAAAAGGAAATGGAATATAGAAGAAAAAAGGAAAAGCCATCCGAAATCATTGTTTCCAATTCTTGCTTGACAAGGACACCAGCCAAGGCAAATGCTTTGCCTATGGTCTGAATAATCATGGACCTGACCCCGGGTGTGAAGGCAATTGTGCTTGGCCAGATTCAGTTTAAGTTCAAATATATTATCCAATACGCAAGAAATCAAACTGAGTTATATCTGTAGGCCTTGACCTGAGAACGTAGATTGCCATATCGTGTAGGGCATGCAATGTCCTATAGCTTGCATCAATACACTGAAAACTCACAGTTACAAATATATAGGTAATGATGTTCTAAGATAGAAGTCAGATAGATTTCCCAGAGAATTATAAATTCATAGGTGATTCATCGGATTAACAAACAAAATAACAGCTCATAAGAAGATTTTACTAGCGTATCTGTTTTTTTGGCAAGGTAGGCAAGCCTGGCAACTGTCTACCTGAATTATTTATGATAATGGAGAGAAAAGAAAAAAACAAAAAGCAGTAAGATATATAGTTGCAACTATATGTCAAAATAGTGTTAGGTACGTCCGTAGTGGCAAAACATTAAATGGCTTCTGCCTTTTTTTTTATCTTCCATATTAGCACGGTACATGTGTATCTCTGCTCGTTCAAGCTACTGTCATGCCACTAAACCAAATCTTGCTGTTCCCATTTTGAATAAACAATCACCACTTCACTAGTATTACTTGGTGTAGAGAAATTTTGGGGATATAGGAAAAATGGGTAATCTTATAAAATTCATGAAATGCTGCAATCATTAGTCTAATGTTTTTGTGGTTGTTAGCTCAAATTCTTCCATTATCTACTTGGTTCGGGATTGATTGTCTTCTTCTCCCTAGGTCAACACCCACCTATTTGAAAACTTCACAAAAGCCCAGACAGAATATGAACACTGGGACCCAGAACAAAACCTAAAATGTTCCTACCCTCTCTTTGTTCTCACCTGCACCCTGAATCACCACCATCGGACACCCTTTTGACTCTTGCACGATGCTACCTGGGGATGGTCAGATAAATCCAAGCGTGATGAATGGGAGGCAGAGCAACTCATGAGGGTCGAGGGAACTCATTTCTCACAGCTGTAAGGCAAAAAGTCGCGGCTACGTGGTTGAAAAAACCACCAGGGGGTGGTGGGGCGTGACAAGGAAATAGGAAATGATGGAGATTAGGGTTTTGTCTCTTTACAACATGATTATAATTTTCGTTTAGGTGAAGAAGCTTTTGACCTTTTTAGATCATGTATACCTATCCTCATTACAACAACAGATTAGGTAGACCCCATTCAGATTTTTAATTATTTTCTTTATTAATTTGAACTTTTAAACTTTAACTACCATTAATTTAAATTAAGCAACACCATTTTAGTTTAGGCCACATATATATAATATTAATAGTATCATACAACTAAGGTAATTAGTGACATGCACATGTATTTACATATATATTATCTATTCCATTGTTTTGATTTGATATGTAAAAGTGAAAATATTTTTCTTTAAGTGTAGAAAATCTATTTGCCAATCTTTTTTATCTGCCGTCACTTTGTTCTTGTGTTTTTTTCTTTGACCAAAAGAAAATAAAATAATTTATTCATCATGATCACTGTTATACCTTTTGCTCTTTTTTTATGTTATTTTAATTTTATAAAAAGGGCAAAAATAAGAATAGAAAAGAAAATCCTGGGTAGACGTGAGAATATTTCCTGCTTTGACCTTTTCTTTTATCCAAATCCCAAATTGTGAGAATTGGATTCTCTTTTCCTTTTTATATTGGAAATTATGAATTGGTTTTACTATTACTCTTGAAAAAAGAAAACAGTATATATTATGTAATTAATTTATCAGCTCGTAGTGTATTATTTTTTTTGCTTAATTTAGTACATTGTAATGACGTCATAAAGAACACCTGGTGACGTAAGATCCAACATTGTATTGCAAGGCAAGGCATGCACAAGACAAGAGGCAGTCAGTGATCAGCTAGCAACGACTGACAAGTGACAACCCATTTTCGTATGATCGTAGACCTCTTTTTTTTTTTTTTTTGCCCTTTTTCAGGTGAATAGTTCTTTTTTCTTAATTTTAGCATTAAAGTAATTAAACAATATTTTTAAAAAATTAAAAATTTTAATATAAAGTACACTACTTATAATTTAATAATTTTTGTATAACAAAAAATTGTGTGAAAATCGCTAAATGAAATTAAGCAAATATACAAACAAGGGATGAAAGGAGTAAACAACATTTTTGTACAAAGAATAGGAATACAGAGCAGCTAGCTATCAGGTATAACTGCCCATGTGAGGAAGGAAGAGCAGGAAGCAAATTTTTGTTTTATATACTTTTATGCATGGGTTGTATTTTCTGTTATTCATATTTACCTTTTGGCTTCTGTAATGTGTGTCGTGAGCTCCTTAAATTTGACTAGTGGAAACTTGAAAGTCTTAATTTCATTACTGGATATTATTATTCCCTTGAGGTGTATTGACTGCCTTGGGCAATATTCAAGCCTCTCCTAGCAAGGGAAATTGCGAGAGATAGTCCATATGCCACCAGTCCTGCAAACCACACCAACTCCTCCCTTCACAAGACTGGCATCAAAGGCTGCAACGCATTTGGTGCAGTGGAACCAAACAACCACCCAGACATTTGGCTACTACAGGACAAAGGTTAGAGGCTTCGGAGTATGCAAACACACACAGTCTTTAACAGTGCATATGTTTGAAATTGATGTTTCTTTTTGACCAAACGTGCAATAACTTGTATGGTCACTTTTAGCTATTCCTTCCACTATTTTTTTGCCAAAAAAGAAAAACAAATATGAAAAGTTACTGGAGTTATTACAGGTTTTAGTCTATATATATATATATATATATATGTATGTATGTATGTGAGACTTAGTTGCTCTCATGTGTGTATTAATTTTACACCCTTAAACTTGCTTTACTTATGCGAGAGTTAGACGGCATTTTAATATTTTATGGTATCAAAACAAGCAGCTTATGTTTCTTGTCTCTTGCTCAGTACTCTCTCTTTGCCTTGTTTTTAAACTTTACAAGAGAATCTTCTTTCACTTTATATATATATATAGCTCTTTTAAGAGTAATTAAGTTGAAAAAAATAACAATTAAGTCAAGAAGTAACATAGTATTGCATAATGGAAAATAAATTTCTTTTTTGAAAAGCATATGGATTTCATTGAATAAAGTAACTGTACATAAACAAAAAAGACCAGCCAATTTGCTGTTTATACAAAATAAAAGGGTCAACAGGACCACCATTTCCAGCACTCAATAATCTTAAATTCCCTTGTACAAAATTGAACAAATAATAGAAGGATATGACCTATACATTTCAAACACATGCCCCCCTTAAACAAAAATTCTCCAAAAAAAAAAACAGCTCAATATTAGTTTAACAAAGATAATTTTCAAATCATTCAACATCAACATTTGTGACAAATGACTCACCAATCACAATTCCACCATTCGCACCAGGAAAACATGCAAGCAAGTAGCAAACAGCAACCATCGTTGTCACACAATTCCAGAATGTATTCAAACTCACAAGAATCACAGTGAACTCATCAATCATGCTTGGGTTAATTGTGCTTACCTCTTGTGTGATCCACAGCAAGTTGCTAGTCCTTTGAACCCCTTATTTAGCAAGCTCGCGAGCTTCCTCATTGGATGCCCTGGGAAGGTGTCTAATACTCTAGTGTTGAATTTTTTTGAGTAAATTTAAAATCAAAATGACAAGAGGTCTCAGTCACCAAGGCTCATTTGCAGGATTAGAAATCTATTTTGCCACGTTGTAAGAATCACATTCAAGAAAAAGAGGGTGAGATAGGCCTCAGTTAGTAGCAGCATAGATTAACACAACCTCCTTAACTGCTGAAAGCTCTGCCAAATTAGAGTCCGACTGTCCAATAGATTTCAAAAATTAAGTAAGAGTTTCCCCTTGATCATCCCAAAGAATGCCACCAATCCCGGAATTGCTCAGGTTGCCTCTTGAAGTACCATTCACGTTGAATTTAAGTGCCCCAGCTTCAGGTTTCTCCCATAGCACCCTTCTCTTAGCTTTTGGAAAACGCCTTGGATTACAACCCTCTTTTGGCTATCTTGCCAATTCACCTATAGATAGGTTAAGATCAGGTCACTTGGCATTCATCCACTATGGAAAATAAAAATTGAAAACCTAAGGGTTGAATACTTGAATTTTATTAAGGGGTCGTTCTTGATCAAAGGGTGCAGTTAGGCAGGTCACTAGTTTGGGCAATGAGTGAGTTCATCAAAGTACATTTAGATCTTTTATGGATGCGATCAGAGACAAAAAGACAAGGCAAGTAGGCAACCCTACAGTAAGCTCAAAATGGAAAAAGAAACAGAAAGCGTTGAAAACAACGGAAATGAGGAATGGGATATGACACAGAAGGGTCGAGAAGATGGGATCACAATGGAATGGGGAAAGGCTACGTACAACGCTATGAGGAGAGCCTGGATTAATCATGGTTTCTATCTTCTTCAGCTCATTGACAGATATATGCTATAATTAGTACAAGAAATAATAAAATACTGAATAGGAGATCCTCGTATAGAGTTGATTATAAATTTTGAAAGATTAAATTTCGGATGGGCTTTTATAAACAAGTTGAGCTTGAGCTTTGCTCAAAGTTTTAATGAAAGCCCGAGAATCTATTCCAGCAGGCCCAGTTTCTTCCTTTAACTTCTGTTCCCTTCTCCATGCATGATGGATGGATGGATGGAATTACGCTTCAAAAGAAAGAAAAAAATGAACAATTGGGTTGAGCTAACATCTACAAGTATAAAACCTAATTTTGACACTTCAATTCCATTTGGTAACTAATTACTAAATTGTGTTCAAATGTTTTAAATTTTTTTAAAAATT